ACTAAACTTATTCTAAAATTTGATGCAATTTCCGACATTTTTAGCTTTCATTCAACTTCACTAATAAACAAACGTTCCTTTTTTGAAAACAGCACTAGCGGGATTAAGCCTGACTATTTTGCAACAACAAAATAAAATAAAATGTTAAAAATCCTGAATTTATTGCTTTAGTTCTGCGCAACACTGTATGCATATAATACATACGCACGCACAATGTGCAAATAGTATATAATCGACCAAGTACAAGATGAAACAAAAAACTTTGATACATAAGAATGACAACAAAGGAGAACGGCAAAGGAAAACTGCTGACAACAACGTGGCGTTTACAAATGTCAAATACAATATTGAACATGTTCTAACTTCAACTATTAACACGAAACATAGACGTGTGTCTGCGTTTCCACTTCACAACATGCACGCTTAATGAACGACAGGATGTTTTACACAGTGGTCAACAACCGGGGGGTTTCAATCCAAATGATCACTCATTCGAACAACCTGTAGCACTGCGGAAAGTTGTCGCTTTGAGGGTGTAATAGCTTCAGAATTCAAATAAGATTGAACTGTACAGATTAAAGGGAAGACGGACAAAAAATGAGAATTTCTCTAAAAAATTTACAGAAAACTATCTAAAAACTCACCATTTCGGAGAGGAAACGTTGTTGGTATCCATACCTTGCTCTGCGTTAGGTCTTTGAGGTGTTACGTCGCTGCATAATTAGTACTAATTTCTACTTTGACTTTGTGTTATTCTGAGTTCAAGATATATTACATTTTCTGTTGTAACAGGTAGGCCTAACAGGTATTAAAAGTTGTTGGCGTGACTACTAGAGATTCGAATTTTGAAAAGTAAGGCGGAGTCTAGTAAAGGCTGGTTTGAGAGATTCAGACTTCGAGAAAAGCTGTGCTCTTAAATGTACCCATTACGAACTTCAAATACGAAATTCGAAATAATTTCGGTAAATAATGACGCCAAAATCATGAAAATACCGAATACCGGGGAATTTTTTTCAATTTGACTTCCAATTTGAACTGTATTTTTTTTTAAATTTTTACAAACCGCAACACAGCGTTTTGAGGGTATTATTTGCATGTCGCAATTATCGTTCGACCCTCGTGAAAATTTGTATGTGGTAGGGTTAGGATCAGAATTAAAGCCTATTGTTCTTAAGATGTACATTTAGAGGTTCAAATGGACTAGACAGTTAATTATACCCTACACCACATAGTGGTAAGGGTATTATGTCTTTGTGCATTTGTTTGTAACATGGAGAAGGAAACGAGATAGACCCATAGTTACTTTTGAGAACCTTCATAGAATCACTTTCTGAGTCGATTTATGCATGTCAGTCCGTCTGTCCGTCCGTCCGTCTGTCCATGTATTCTTGTGAACAAAATGCAGGTCGCATTTATTATCCGATTGAGCATGAAATTTTTCAAACAATATTTTTTTGGCCCAAGGACGAACCCTATTGAATTTGGTGAGAATCTGATCAAATTTAGATATAGCTCCCATATATATCTTCATCCGATTTCGGGTTAAATGTGCACCAAATGTCCACTATCAGTCCAAATTACCTGAATTTTGGCACACCCAACCGAGTTCGGCCTAGAAGCAAGTATATCAAATTTGGAGAAAATCGGTTCAGGTATAGCTATAGCTCCCATATATATCTTTCATCCGATTTGATCTTGAAGTCCCTCACATTCCTACTATGCACTCCACAACCGTGATATTTGGTACCAGGTATTAGATGGAGCACAGAAATAGCTGTTTTAAATTTTATCGAAATCGGTTCAGATTTGGATATAGCTCCCATATATATCTTCATCCGATTTCGGGTTAATTGACCACCAAATGGCCAATATCAGCCCAAATGGCCGAATTTTGGCATATGTGACCGAGATTAGCCTTAAAGCAAATACAACAAATTTGGAGAAAATCGGTTCAGAGACAGCTATAGCTCCCATATATATGTTTTATCCGATTTGGTGTTTAAGCCTCTCACATTCGTAATATGCACTCCACAAGAATGATATTTGGTACCAGATATAAGATACAGCCCAGAAATAGCTGTTTGTAATTTTATCGAAATCGGTTCAGATTTGGATATAGCTCCTATATATATCTTCATCCGATTTCGGGTTAATTGTGCACCAAATGGCCGATATAAGTCCAAATGGACTGAATTTTAGTACATCGGACCAAATTCAGCCTAGAAGCAAGTATATCAAATTTAGTGAAAATCGGTTCAGATTTAGATATAGCAACCATATATATGTTTCATCTGATTTAGTGTTTTAGACCTTTACATTCGTAATATTCACTCCACAACCGTGACTATTTGGTACCAGGTATTAGATGGAGCACATGAATAGCTGTTTTAAATTTTATAGAAATCGGTTCAGATTTGGATATAGCTCCCATATATCTTCATCCGATTTCGGGTTAAATGTGCACTAAATGGTCAATATCAGCCCAAATCACCTGAATTTTCGTACATAAGACCGAATTCAGTCTAGAAGCTAATACGTCAAATTTGGAGAAACCCGGTTCACAGATAGTTATAGTTCGTAAAATGCACGATAGAATTAGATAGATTTTGATTTTGTACCAAATATCTCATAGAGCTCTGAAATGCCCTGTATAAACCTTTTTACGAGAGCTCTACTAAATATGCATAGTGGTGTAGGGTATCATATAGTCGGCCCCGCCCGACTTTTGAGCTTTCCTTACTGGTTTTTTTTTTTAATTTTGTAGTCGCTCTATAGACAACAATTGAAAACTAATCGACACGGAATATAGCATTAGAAGAGAGTTAAGGACAGGGACACTATTTTTGACATTATTTCAAAACGAAGTCTTCCAAAATTATCCGAAATCTTCATTTGGACATAAGGGGATTTCGAACAAATTGTAGTGTTGTAGGGTATCACATGGTCGAGCCTTTGATTACTTGTTTTTTTTTTTTTCTAAAATATTAGTATTTACGGGATAGTGGCTAAGGAATGAGAATCAGTTACAAGTGATATTGTTTTTAGAATTAGTTGTAAAAAATGATTATTACAACATATTTATGGGTCTCTTGCTTTAAGCTATGTTGTGAATTTTACACAGCGAACTGTGGGGCCAATGATCAGTGAAACATACCCTTTATTTAACACACTTGTCGTATCAATACCAACATTCTGATTCCTTCTAATTGGCATATTTTCTATCAATTCCCATCAATAAATATGTTGTACAAGGCACTTAGTTTAAACAAATTTCGCGGTCGCGCCATGACCGTACAATCCGCATACGTTACATCTCTATGGGGTCTGGAGGGCGAGGAATTCCGTTAAGGTAGAGGTTAAATGATTCGGGATATATCACCCCACCCTGGGGAACTCTCTGTTTCACTGTACGAAGTTTGAATTTCTTGTTCCGGAATTCCACGTACGACTGGCGTCCACACCTATAGTTAATTATCAAACCTTTTAAACTTGGCCGGAGTGCAGTTCTTATTACAGCCTCAAACAATGTGGGTTGGTTGATTGTATCAAATGTCCTTGATAGGTCAAGAGCTACCACACTGTTCTATTGCACCTTATATGTGGATAGAGCGTGCAATGCTGTTGTGGACGGAATCCGTGTTGATGATTGGCATCTGAATAGCTTACTCTGATTCTGGGAAGGAGTAAAGCATGTACGACGCGCCTTTGATTGCATCCTCGCCTGGCTTCAGTAGCGGGATTTTCCAGACTTCGGGAATTATATGGGCATTGAGATGTCGCCTGGGCCCACCAATTTAGATGACATTTGCAACATTACCCATCGTAAACTGTGTTGATGCCTCCTTGGCATGAAGATATTTGATACGACGTAGTACTCTTCGCTTCGCCATGTCGCTATCGCAGTGCTCAACAACAACAAAATAACTACGGTATCCCAAATAAAATGCCAACAATGAAACCCATTTAAATGAAAAATATTTCCGTCACCATTTAACAAAGAGTAAAGTTGGAATCGATTTTTTTTCAGAAAAACGGAATTTTTTCTTTCGTCCAGTTTGAAAATGTTGAATAGAATGCTAGTAAAGTTTTGCCATATTTTTAAAATCATTACGATGTTACATTCTACTTTAGAATTGCGCGGGTATGTTCAATCTTGGCCACCCCTTTCGTAAAGAATTGATATAGAACCTTAGCTTAAAAATCCTTTATCATTCGTTCGAAACAATCGACATGCCTATGCCACTATGAAGAATACAATACAATACAATCTTGCCAAATGGAATGGTTTTTTATTCTCGCAAGAAATTTGTCGGCCGAATATAGGTTGGGCCCTGCTGCAAAAGGTTACCTTAAAACATAAATTACATGTAGCATCGTGTTCGCATATATACGAACAACAAAGATAAGTTCAAGCAGCATTTTGGCCGTCTAAGTTTCGCGCGCTCTTCCCCGAAAACGCCTACATCACGCTTACCTACACCAGACAAATGCGTACTTTCTCTGAACCATTTAATATTTTCTTCGCGTCCACATTCGGCCACCAGAAGACACTACTCGTAATGTCTCACTTTTAGTTGAATGTATTTCTTCTGACTTGGTTATTTTCGTTTGGAGGACTATTCGATTGTTCTCCAAGTCGTTACTTTTTCTCAATTTGGTGTGCTTGTGTTCCAATGGAGACATCAAACGTTGTGGCGGCGGCTATTCAATAGTAAACCGAAAGATCACATGCTTTTCGTTCTTTTAGGGAAATGTCAGCACTTAATCTTCAGTAACCGAATTGGTAACTAGACCACAGTTAGATGGACGGCAACCGACAGGAAGGAAGATAAACAAATGGGTGTAAGTATGTCATGGAGAACAACGAACAATTGGGCTGCCAGCCAACAATGAACAGACACAGATATGTGTGTATGAGACCTATGGACAATAAAGGATATTCATTGTTTGCCGACAACCGAATGCGATTCTATGCTGCTTCTCCGGTCGTACTGAGTGTATGTAGTTTGTGGACATTTATTGACTTCAATTTTGAACGAGATTACATAGGTTTGTGTGTGTGTGCTTGTTTACAACACCTCATTGTATTCTTTTTGTAGTGTTTGCTCTATCCATGGCAGAAGTTCGGTGACACGGGCATACACTCCTGGCTTTTTGCGCTGGGCACACCCGACTCCCCATGATACAATCCCTATAAGGACGTCCTTATACACTAATGGACCGCCTGAATCCATTTGACAGGCATCGACACCCCCGCTTTTGAAACCAGCGCATATCATTCGTTTGGTTATTAAACCCCCCATTCGACGATTACAGGTTGACTGCTTCACGATGGGTACCTGGGCCATTCTTAATTGCTCAGCGGGTGGACCCCAGGCGTTGGTGTAGCCCCATCCCAATACAGTTGCGTAGCTGCCCTCCTTGATTTTGGTCTTCAGACTCGCCAATTTAATGGGCTGGACTGATGGGGTATATACGAACAAGCCATCAATTCTGACTAGTCCAACATCATAGTCCTGTGTTTCGGCTGTCCATAGCGGATGATAATGCGTGTTTAGCACTTCGTATATTAACCCATCTATAACTTTCTTTGCCTTCTCGCCCACATGTACTTTGAGCGACGACGCAGAAGTGGAGGCTAGGCAGTGCGCTGCCGTAATCACAGTACGCTGATTGATGATTGAGCCGCCGCAGGTGTGGTATCGACCAAAAATCGTGTCTGTCATTAAGGAGATAACATAAGGATAACTGCCAGTGGCTTCATGCCCACCAACAATGCGGGGAGCGATGCTCCCGCCTTTCAAACCAGCGCTGAGAGCAAACTTGAAAACCAGGAAACCGAAAATGAAAAGGGACGCAATCTTTGGTGATGTTCTTCCCATTATGACAGATCGTCTCTACTGCGGCGTGTGCTTCAAATGTCGTCGGGTTTTCATACGATGTCTGATATATGTAGGTGTTGTTTACAACTTGATAAATTTGGAAGATAAATAGGTGCAGTAATTGTTTTCGAATTGCTTTAGGGCGTGACATGTGATGAATTTCCCGAGAAATCGATAAATCACTTTTAGGCGTCACTTGATGGGTATCGCTCGTCATACCCTATTCAACCACGCAAACTATTTGCATTTGTTTTGACATTTTGAAGCATATTTTATATTTGTTAGGATTTTGCACCTGCCAGCCATACAAAATAATACGTATGTCTGGGTAATTTTCTAGTTGGTAGCCCGATTCGTTTACTGGCCGATCATATATAGACCTTGACCTTGATGTTAAAGCTTTCAATTTTATGGGAAAACTAGCTGACCAGCTGACCAGCTGACGTCGATGTCTCGTGTTTTTCTTTTGAAAGATCTCGTCTCCAATGAAGGGACATAAGGCATATAATGTTGAAAACTGGAGGTTATTAGACTCTACATGCCGTGTTTTTACAAATGATAACATTTATGTTTTTGATGTACCTAGAAAATGTTCGATGCTGTCATTGGTGCAAGCAATCTTGTCTGCTATTTTTTCGGCACTCCTTCCCTTCAATAGGGTGACAATCAAATGAAATCATTTTTGCGCCCTAAGCATGGAATTAATATCTGGTATTTCGCATGGGATTTTCCGTCAACCTAAAAAACGGTGATAATGAGAAAAACATTCTGTCAGAAAAAAGCTGTAAGTTCGGCTTATCTGTTATATTAAGGTCTATACGACGCAATATTCAAATATTTAGCAATATTCAAATGCTAAACAAAAATCCTGCAGAACAAACACACATCTGAATAACATTTTATAAACCTACTTCATTTTGTGCGGAAGCTAGAGTGATTTCCACATATGGACGTACATCGCTAGATCGACATAGAGTTTTATACTCATCAAGAATATATATACTTTGTGGGATATAAAATGTATATTTCGAGGTGTTATAAACGGAACGACAAACTTAATATCCCCAGCAATTGAGTAAAAGATTACTCTGATCGGATTCCACTACATCGGTCAATGTTTTTAAAGAACGCATCGATTAAAAGTGAAGGTAATTATACCTTACAACACTATGTGTTGGGGTTATTATAAGTTTGATTGGGCCAAAATTATGTAACACCTCGAAATATTGGTTTCCCATATAGGAAAGTATATACGGATCTCGTCGAACTGAGTCGATCTAGCTATGTATGTCCATCCGTCCGTCTGTCCGTCTGTCCATGTTAATTTGTAATCACTCTACAGGTCGCAATTATGGCCCGATTCCCACGAAATTGAAAATGTAAATGGAGTTAGGGTCAGAATAGAACCCTTTTGGAGATGATCGCATAATATTTAAGGGTTGAAATGGACCAAATACTGAAAAATTTCATGGTTTTGCAGTTGCTCTACAACTCGCATTTAGAGACCAAACGACGCGGAAGTTAGCATGGGGCTAGATCTTAGGGATGGGCAGATGCCTTCCAATTTTGATGGTCATCGGGTTATATTTAGTGGGTGAATTAGACCATAACATTTCTGTTAAATAAAAGTAAAATCTTCCATTAAACCGCGAATATTTTTAATCCCGGCAAAGTCATAAACAGACGAACAGGTCAATTCTGACCGTTATTTAGATGCCGATACTAAATATGTCGGGTATATAAAGCGAAATATATACAATGTATATATAAAAGGGAAGGGGATGTGAGCTAGAATGCTAATATCTCAAGAATGGCTTGACCGATTTTGACAAACTTTGTGAAATCAGAATGCCTTCTTGGCATAAACGTATAAAATCTAAATATATCGCATACAAAGATGTCAATTATGATGTTAGTATAGATTTTGTAGTATTTTGTGACATTTTTTGTATTTTTCATATTTGTTATCGCATGCGATTTTGTAATTGTAATATTTTTCACCTTACAACACGGGTTTATAAAGCGAACGGGATTATTATATACAGATTGCAATTATCGTCCGATGCTCACGAAAATTTTCACAAGGGTTAGGCTTAGAAGGGCTAGGCCTATTGTTTTCAAAGATGTCCGTAATATATGTAGGGTAGGCATGAAGTTAGAGGTCAAATGGACCACTACTTTCGTGTGAAAAAATGCCAGCATTACTTACAGGCAGATATGTTCATTTAGTGGTAGTGCAATTTTTAATTCCACTACCACTAAAGGGTTAGTGGTAGTGAAAAATAAATTGCACTACCACTAACCCTTTAGTGATATTAAAAAAAAAAAATGCACTACCACTAAATTTTAGTGGTAGTGAAATTTCAATAGCACTACCACTAAATTAGTGGTATTTCATAAAAAATAGTACTAAATTAGTGCTATTTAGAAAAGTAATCACATTTTATGAATATGTACTATATATTCTGGATTGTTTTTCCCTACTCACTTCAATAAACTTCATTATAGCTGGTATAATACTTATATACATAGTGCTTTTTTTGGCTTCGCTAAAATATAGTGGTAGTGCAATTTTTTTTTGAAAAATCACTAAATTTAGTGGTAGTGCATTTTTTTTTCAAATATCACTAAAGGGTTAGTGGTAGTGCAATTTATTTTTCACTACCACTAACCCTTTAGTGGTAGTGGAATTAAAAATTGCACTACCACTAATTATTTAATTCTTAGTGCACTAAAAATTTAGTGCAATATGCCCAACCCTGCTTACAGGCGATACCAGAAATACACAAAAGGCGAACTTATGGCTTTATGATTCCGATTTCGTTGACGAATATAGCCAAATATCGTAGACAAGCAAATCATATAGATGAATCTAAATTTGGAGATACAGAAGGGACTCTGGCTTTTGGAGGTGATCGCAAAATATTTATGGGTTCAAATGAACCAAAAACAGAAAAAATTACTGATCACACAATTGAAGCCAATCGAGACGCCGGAGAAGGGATTTAAGGACAGGGAAGAATTCTAGCATTTTGGATGACCATTGGATTATATTTAGCCATAAAATGGACTATAACAACTAACAGCACGACGGAGTGTGTAAATGTCCCTGGTCAAAATGCTAAGGGTAATCTGGGCAGTGCTCCGTGACATAAATTTAAAAGCGAAATCTTAAAAAAATGAATTTGGACATAAGGGAGCTTTTAACATATTGTAGTGTTGTAGGGTATCACATGGTCGGCCCAGCACGACTATAGCCTTTGCTTACTTGTTTTTTACATAGTGTCTATTTGCACGGATGATCCTAGAAATCAGATAAAACTGTTCTTATTTTTTAAACTCCACACTTTTGAATATGGCGGAAATATGAACATATTTTAATTTAATTTTCAACATATTTATGCAGCCGAATTTAATACTGTGTTCTCTTAAAATACCGGCAACTACCTGTAGCTTAATTTCATTTTCAAATTATCAGTTGATAAGAAAAAAAAATAAAACTATTTCACGTAAAAAACAAAAACAATTAGTTTTTTTCTGTCGACAATGTAAATTAAGGTTCGACCTTTATGCTGTGAAATTAGGGAACTAAACAATTCTCAGGCAGATTTTTGAAAACAGTCACTGCAATTCCGACCAATGTCTATCTGTTGAGTTTATTTGATGTCGTGCCATATTTATATAGCTCATAAATAATTCCTTGCGATGTGATGCACCTACAGCTCTAGATTTTGGGACATGTACCGAATGGTGCATGCGACAAAGGCGATCGTTTATCCTCATAAATAATTCCTTGCGATGTGATGCACCTACAGCTCTAGATTTTGGGACATGTACCGAATGGTGCATGCGACAAAGGCGATCGTTTATCCTTATTTGCAGTTTTGAGCAAGTCTGGGGTTTATAAAAATTGTCCATCAATAACAAGATATTTTCCAATCTGACAATTGTATTATAACAATGATGTCGTTATAAATTCTGTGAGGAGCAAAATTTAAAACTCAAGACCAAAATTGAAGGAACGAAAGGAACTATTTACATCAAAATCAGCTGAAACATGTATATGGTGTCATACTAGCCTTTTACCAAAATTGACGGACAATTTAAATATAGTTTGTCCTCAGACAAAACAAATGAACATCTTTAAAAAATTAGGAATTTATTTATTCCATGTCGAATCACATAAAAAAAAATCCAAACTATTTTATTAAATTCATTATTTTCCTCACAAAAAAATCGTTAATTGAAAAGTGGTGCCGACTACTGGCAAAGAAGGACTTTTGTAATAAAATTGCAAACTTTACAAAAAAAAAAAAATCAAACTTTTTCATACACTGAGTCATATGCCTTCATTTGATACGAGATCGAAATAACGGGGTTTCAGTCCAGAAACAGAAAGGATAATCCGATTTTGCTTCAACATTGAAAATCCTAAAAATCCAAAACGCCCAAAGAAAGCGAAATAAGCATCAAACTTTCTTCAACACTCTGTTGTGAAGATTATATATATCTGCGAACCCCTTCTGGTACCTCATCCACAAGGGTCACAATTTTCAATACTTTTTCCTGTCATGACTTGCCATAAAAGTGAGAGATTCTTTACAACTTGCTATTCTTAAATATTTTTTTCAACCAGAAACCTGTGATGAATTTAGAATTTATATTATCTTTGTTTAAATAAAATATAACTAATATTAGACCTTTTTTTAGTCTAAAAATGTTTCTCGACACAATGGAACCATTCCCAGAGTCCTAAGTCTGTTAGTTTCCGAAATATTTTCTTTTAATATTTTTTTGTGTGTTTGAAAAGAGAAATGAATGATGTGAATGCTTGTAATTTGAAATGTTAAAATTGGTTGAATTTGAATAACTATAAATTTTTAAAACGTTTTTATTTGGTAGATTATGAGATATGGACCTGCCGTATTTAGGTAATACGGACGTACAAAACATTTAACCATAGTGGTGAAGTTGAGTATTTGGGTACGCCACGTCGAATTTTAGGTGACGATGTAAAGTGAAGGAAGTAGTCGATATAGTCCAAACCTGGCACGTCACAATATTTATATCATATTTATTTAGGTCCGACAATGCACAATGTTGGAACATTCCTTTGGAACCTACTCCATAAAGGGTCAACAATTTGAATAATCATAACAGAAGTCAAAATATATTTAAATAACCGAATATTGGCTGAGGGTATACATCTGTCGGCACAACCGACTGATACTTTTTAATTTCCTATTATTTCAAAAGGTAAGCGAATTTTGCAGTTCTGTCCTTTACTGGTTCTACAATTCAACAAGTGTTTATACTATTGTGATTTAAGTTTCTTAGAGATAGGACAAACAAAAACGAATCTTACTTCTTCGATTCGAATCCCAGAAGTAGGGGACCGCTATTACCCATCTCCGAGCTCAGTCTAAGTTTTAAAATAATTTTACGATGTACCAAAATTATATAAGTTAATCTCATGCGAATTGACATTGACAACATCCAACTTTCAAAATTAACAAGTTAGCAAAGGCTATAGTCATTCGTGGCCGGCCATGTGATACCCTACAACTCTACAATGTGCTAGAAGCGCACTCCGTGGTGCTATTAGTTGTTGCGGTTCATTTTACAGCTAAATATCGATTCGTGTCGATTGGTTTCAATTGTGCGATCAGGAATAATTTTCTGTTTTTGGTTCATATTTTGCGATCTTTTCCAAAAGCAAGACGCTTCTCCGTAACATTATTATTGGCGTTTTTTTGTGATTTTATTAGATATTTTTTTATGCCAAGAGGGCATTTTGAATCAACAAAATTTGTCTAGTCATTTTTGGGATATAAGCATTCTAGGTAACACCCTCTTTCTTTGTATATACAGAATGTATATATTTCGCTATATATCCGATATATTTATTATCGGCATCTACGCAACAGTCAGAATTGACCTTTTCGTATATTTGTGATTTCGGCGGGATTAACAGTATTCGCGGTTTAATGGAAAATTTGGATTATATTTAACACAAATGTTATGGTGTATTTCGCCTACTAAATATTATCCGATGACAATTGAAATTGGAAAGCTTCTGCCCAGCCCTAAGCTCTAGCTCCATGCTAACTTCCGCGTCGATTGGTCTATAATTGAGACCTGCAGAGCAACTGCAAAATTAGGAAATTTTTCAGTTTTTGGTCCATTTCCATCCCGATCATCTCCAAAAGCAATAGGCTTATATTCTGACCATAACCCCACATATATTTTTAATTTCGCGAGGAAAGGGCAATAATTGCGACCTGTAGTGTGATTACAAAATAACATGGACAGACGGACATACATAGCTAGATCGACTAAGCTCGGCGAGATAGGAAGATCCATTTTTACTTTCCTATGTGAGAAACCAATATTTCGAGATGTTTCATAATTTTTGGGCCAATCAAACTTATAATACCCCCAACACATAGTCCTGTAGGGTATCAAAATGAACATTCATTCGATATTTACACACAACATTGTTTTTGTTTTGAAACTCCCAATTCTAGACATATATCAACAAGTTAAAAAACAGTATGTTCGGCCGGGCCGAACTATTAATATAGGATGTTTCTAACATAATGGATACATATACCGCCAATTTACAGCAAATTTGGATTAAAATTGTGGCAAAAGCAGTCAAAAATCGTAAATCTGTCGGTACAATTATATGGAGACTATACCAAAATATGGACCTATATAACCATTTTCAATACCAAAAGTCTTGTAGAACAAACACACAACTGGGTAAAATTTTATAAACCTACTTCATTTTGTGAGGAAGCTAGACTGATTTCTACCGATGGACAGACGGACAGACAGATATTGCTAAATAGACAGAATGTTATGCTGATGTTAATTATGCCGTTGGGGGCACAGTATGATTCACTTATGGATGAAAATGTGACATAACATAACATTAAACTTACTACAGGTGCAAACTGCCTCTTAAGTATTATTATCGAGTACTTTAACCACTATGTAGTGTTGTTGGTGAATAAATAGATAAAGGCAGTAGAAGGTTTCGTGCATTAAGTGAAATAAATAGTCAACAGACGGAAGTCAGCCAATGCATTCTTGTACACATGTATGCATGCTCACTTACCCTACAGTCTGATGTGGGTGACTGCGCTTGAAAAGCTATATTTTTTCAATTTTCAATGTGAAACAGTTTGGGGTTGCGTTCAATACCCTCCACCATAGGTGAAGAAAAAATGTACACACAGGTTGAGATAATAAAGCTGCAACAAAGTCAAACGCCATAATTTTTATTTATTCTCTAAATTTTATTGAATGAAAGCAAAAAATGTAGGAAGTAGCCCGAATGTTACTCTGCGGTATTTTGGCCCACTCCCGGCGAAGCGCTTGCTTGAGGTGATCGACACTTTGATATTTTTTAGTGTCAACCTTGCTTTCCAAAATACTCTGGACACAATGGTCCAACGGATTGGTATCTGCAGATTTTGATGGCCATTGTGCGCTGGAACTGAAGCGAGGAACCTCGTTTTGTAACCTTTCTTGGGTAGTGCGTTCTGAGTGCGATGGTGCTGAGTCCTGTTGAAATGTCCAAAGTCGACGGCCTAAATATTTGGGTGCCCAAGGCTTTTATACACCCTCCAGAATATTTTCACGATAATATTCGACATTTTTTCTGATGCCATGGTTGATTAATACGATCGGCTGTTATATTTTCTCATCGGAGAAAACCAAATTTCGCAGTTCACCACTTTCGGCCAAGCGAAGCAACTCTTTAGCTCTTTTGAGTCTATTTCTTTCTGTTGCGATGCAAGTTCTTGCACTTTTTGGAATTTCGACGGCTTTACCGAATGGAATATAGCGATATGTTCAGCTCACGGGCCACTGCGACGCGGGTTTCGATCAAGTCGCTTGAATTCCATCAGGAATAACTTTTTTCTGGAAAATTCTCACCAAAATGCTTTTGTACTCTTGTAAACAATATAATGAGCTGTCATTGGAATAATTTGAACAGCTGTCGGACGAGTGGCTTGGAAATGACAGCAGTCTAGAGTTGGTTGCAGTTTTTTCAACTCACCCTGTATGTGTTGGACAATGAAGTTAAAAATTTCAAAACACTAAAAAGATTGGTATCTATTGATCAGACCGAAAGGCGGACATTGTTAAATCGAATTAGAATTGTATTGTGATATTGGGATTTGTTGAAATATACTTTGTCAATTTTGACAGTGATGGGAAACAGGTTCCTATCTCCGATTTGTGTAAATACAATGGATTTATTTCGACAAAGTTATACATTTGAAAAAATAAGAATAGCTTTTTTTCATTCTTCCATGGTTCACTTTTTTATTATTTTAAAATGTTCTTGTTAGTTTCGGCAGCGGGCAACAATATTAGTTTTCAAAAATATTGGTTTTTGTAAAATGTCTTTGAAGATTCAACAGTTGTTTTTGGTAAAATACTTTGGCATAGGAATGGACAGCTACGTATGCAACGCATGCCCTCAGACGTTTACATTGCAGTGGGAGAAATGATCAAGTTTCCAATCTGAAATGAAATCAAGTATCAACAACGTGTTGTCAAATATTCTGTATGCAGTGCTACCTTTTCCTGTCAAACAATTGTCACGGATCATGTCACACTGGCTGTAGAAGAATTGATGTTCGTTCCTGGTCGATGCGCAAACCGCTTTGAAGGGATCACAGTCGTTCAGTCCACCACACGAACTCCCTCGGACCACCAGAACAACCACAACTAGCAGCAATAAAATCGTAAAACTTAATGCAGCTAGCACCGACACCCTCTTCGACATGCTCCCGGACACAATCATCTGTGCGAATGCTCATCTCACATGGAACTGTTAATAATGTTTGTTTTTGTATTGTTACAAATCCGCAAACGATCTTTTATTGTTGTTATTCACTTTTTGCACTTTTACTGAGGTTTTTATTAGTTAATATCTGGCTGAACGGTTTCTAGCCGCGCATAATGAATGTCCAATTAGACCGGAGACCGGAGTGTGCTCCCTCTCCCGTGCTCTGTTTACAAATGCCGCGGTGGAATTTGCCATGGATGTTGACGACCATTCACACATTTCTCAGAGCTTAATCCATGAGTAATTCTCATTCAGCTTTCGACTGCTAAACACTTGTTCAAATGAAACGCACCTCCCGCTGTGGACTTGTGGTTTTCTGCCGTCGTTCGCTCTCTAAAATATTGCTTCTATCTGCAGGTAATTCGAAAGCAGAATAAATGGTTAGCAACATCGATCATGCGACGCTTTGGATGGCAATGCTAGCGTTGTCATGCAGTTTGCCGAAAGCTCGTTACATAAAATTAGAATAGTCGCTTCTTTCCGAGTGGTTCGGTTTGTTATGACGTATTGTCAGTTAATTTTTAGATTGAATGGGGTGAGGCTTTTAAACAGTAGGTGCACTCGGGCTTGTAAATTTTGGTGGTTGTTAAGCAGTTGAGCAAGGCAAATTGAGTAGGTAGCGACATCGTGTAAATACATATATATTTCCAAAATAAGTACAAAATATAAATATGTATACATATTTTTTCCTGTTCAACATAAAATTCTAATTCTTTCGAACTAAATGAACTAGGCAGATAAAGCTTTATATAACGATGTCTCCCAGCATTTGGATGTTATTAGCTACATTAACTCAAGCTTGGTATTTGGAGTTTGTAATAAGTGGCGCTTTCTTTGGCAGATAATAGGCTATACTGGTCTACGATTTCGCATAGGGCCATTTTTTCAAAAATTGGTAAGCTTCTTTACTTGTTTCAATGGTTAAGAATGCGCTGATTATTTTCTGTATTCATACCCTTAAGCATACTTTGTCTTCGTGCATTTGTTTGTAACGTGCAGAAGGAAATAAACCCGTAGTTCCTTTTGATGATCGCGGTAGAATAACATTTCGGCCCAATCGACCAAATGCAGCTTTAAATCACGTGTTTCAAACTTAGTGGAAAGTATCATCCGATTTCACATATTATGTGTATATATAATCTCGAAGTTATATCATATCAGATTAAACTGGTCTAAAGAGACAAACAAAATCGTTGCTATGATGTACTTCATATAAATTCCCCTACGGCTAGCTCTACTAAATATGTATAGTTGTATAGGGCATCTATATGTGGCCCGACCGACTTCTGATCTTTCTTTACTGGACACGTAGACATTTTACACTAACTGGATAATGAATTCCACAACTGACAGAATTTGTTAATGTATTTTTCCAAAATTTTTGTAAAGACAAATTGTTATGTAAAACCACAAAATATAATTTTTTTATTGAAATTATTTCATTTGAAATTCGAATTATTCCATTTGACATTCGAAAAAAAAAATCTCAAACATTTTGTATTGGCTTCACATTTGCTTTTTCGAATTACAAATAAAATGATTCGAATTGCAAGTGAAATACTTCGAATTTCAAATGGAATAATTTTGAAATGTTTCGCATAACATGCCTCCTTCAAAACATAATGAATTCATATTTACCCTCGTCAAATAGATCGTTAAGAGTGTCTGCAAAATGTGCTTGACAAACCACAGAAACCCCAATTAACTTAACGGTATTGACTGAAAAAGGAAAAGGGCCCTGGGTTGACCTAACGATGGTGTTTGTTCATTGACCGTAGCGATGATTGATTTATTCCAGTTTCTTCAGCCACAGCAATTAGAAACCTACACCGGACGGGGACAATGACACATTAATAACACAGAACACTCATCTTTACCAGGGTACATTTTCTGAATGCTGTGGAACCCCAGTATTTTGGGGATGGCAAGAAAACACGACAGTGTCGTTAGGCTACACTTGATGTTAATGCGCCTCCTTAGCTAGACAGCTAAGCTCGCCGTGGATGTCTAAACATTACTATCAGCTTTACCTTTTTTCTAATACATGCTTTTATCATGGGCAGATATCAACGCAGGGGTATCAAGAAGAAATATTTTTTATTTAGGCAAGAAATATTTTTTATTTAGGGCAAAATCTTATCCTATTTCGAGCTTTTTGGCTCCAACACTTCTTCCATTGCGAGTAAAATCGAGCTAATCGGAGCTCTGGTTTCAATAATACATTTACCACTTTAAAGTATGTTACCATATTTTGTTGACAATGATACCGAGAAGTTTATAATAGTTAAATAATTATGTAATTCACCTTGTCAAATTTCACTGAATAAAAAGAGGTTCCCATCTCTGGTTTGTGTATGTACAATGGAATTATGAATATACATTTTGGCAATGAGATGCTGCTAAACGAATAATTTTGAAAAAAATTCAAAATGAGTTAAATAGCGCGAAAAATTATTAATTTTTCTTTCAAAAATATGATCCGATTACAATGAAATTCGGCATGAGTGACTAAATTTGGTACACAAATAAATTTGTCAAATTACATTGAAATCGTTTCAGATTTGGATATAGCTCCCATATATATTTTCGGCCATATATATTTTGATGCACCCAACGCGATATATATGTCCTGTTCCAATGAAATTCGGACAGAGAGACAAAATTTGATACCAAAAAAATTGCCAAGTTATATTGAAAATAGTTGAGATTTGGGTATAGCTCCCGTATATATTTTGGCCGATTTCATATATATGATGCACCAAACACGGTATGTACCTCCAATTTCAAAGAAATATGGAGGGTGTGACGGAATATGGTGTAAAAGTAAATTTTGTCAAATTATATTGAAATCGGTTCCGATTGTGACATTATTTTATTAAGAAGCACTGAGCCACAACGTCTTGGCAATGGTATTAACCTAAGAGTAAAAAACTACACAAGAATTTAATTGAGGATACGATTATTACGGGGCAGTATGTCACTACCTCGAATTCACTAATTGCAACAGAAATGCCGCTCAACTTCAAAAGATTGCAGTTCCCTGCACGCTTGTTATTTGCTATGAAATTAATAAATTCGAAAGAAACCCCTTCGGGTATGGACTGCATTTGGCATGTTCCTGCTTTTCTCATGGTCAACTGTTCCTGTCATGTTCACGCGTTGGTAGATACGTAAATAAACAAATAGCCCGGTTTATTTACGGATTAAAGTATTACAATAATTTATTTTTAATTTTTGAATTTGTTTTTTTTTTCAGTCAACGTATAATCGTATAAAAATTTTGAATGTATATAAAATAAAAAGGGGTTGAGAAGCACACGGGGCTCAGCTAGTACTGTACTAGTACTAGTTAGAAGCCAAAAAATATTCTGGAAAAAAATTTGAAGGAAATTATATTATTTGTTGATTTTGGAAGAGCAAAACAATTAATTTTGTGTATGTGTTGGGGGTATTATGAGTTTGATTGGGCCAAAAAGTATGTAACACCTCGAAATATTGGCCCCGACATAGGAAACTAACTCCCTATCTGAGCCGATTAGCTATGTTTGCCTGTCCGTCTGTCCATGTTAATTTGTTATCACTCTACGGGTCGCAATTATGGCGAAATTGAAAATGGAGGTTTCTGGAAATGATCGCAAAATATTTAAAGGAAAAATTGGACCAAAAACAGAAAAATTTCCACGAGACAATATTTAGCGGGTAAAATAAACCATAACTTTAGCATTAAGAGGTCACTTCTAAGCATTACAGTGATGCTGATAGTCAAGATATGGGATATATAGAAAAATATATACAATATATTTGTAAAAGAAATATATATTAGTCATTCTGCCATCAACTCGGAATGGTATCTTGCCAGAAAAGGATAATATCGAAGAAATCACGTAAAAATATTCCATTCAAAAATTGAATATTTTTTGTTACATTTTTTAAATTTTTGTCATATTTTTCATCGCAAGCGTTTTTTTCAATTTGATTTACAATATTAAAGTGAACATTTTCTAAAGTTTTTCTACGCCCTGCAACACTATGTGTTGGGGGTATTATACACATATCGCAATTATCGTGCGATGCACACGAAATTTTGCATGGGGTTAGGGTTAGGGTCAGAATTAAAGCCTATTGTTCCGAAGATGCATATTTAGGCGTTCAAGTGGACGAAAAAAATTAAAATTTTCCTGACTTTGCAGTCGCTCTACGGGTCACAATTAAAAACCAATCGCAATTTTGCCTGAAGTTAGAGTTAAGTACCGGGAAGAAGTCTAGCATTTTGGATGACCATTGGATTATATTAAGCTGTAAAGTGGACAACAACTTCGTGTGAAATTGTTTTGAATGCCTAAGAACACGACAGAGTGCGTTAATATTGTGGAAATGCTCCCGGTCAAAAAGCTAAGGGTAACATCTGGGCAGGGCTCTATGACATCATTTCAAAAATGAATTCTTCGAAAATGGATTTGGACATAAGGCGTCTTTCAACATGTTATTGTCTTGTAGGGTATAGCCTTTGCTTACTTGTTTTATTTATAAACGTTCCCAGGGAAAAATGAGCTAAAAATACATTTATTTTTCCCCTCCTGTGTAACCTATTCGAAGATATGCATTTAAATGGTATAAAACATAGACCTCTGTTATGCATTGTGCATGTGACATCTTGACATATGGCTTACTGTCTCACCTTGTAAATACTCGTTGGTCGAAGCAAACATATCAATGTCGGCAAATGACTGCGGCCACCATCATTACTTACCGATCGAAAAAGAAATGGCATCCGCCTAAGTTTTTATGGATAATTTGTGATTTTATTTTTAATAAGAATAGCATCTCTTAAAATAACTTACGATAGTAAAAATAATTACAAAAGTCTAGTTGTTGCAGACGTAGAACCTTACAGTGCTGGTAACTCAGATTAACTTACGTTTGTTGTCCTCCACTCACTTGGGTCTGTATCTGTGTAGTCTGAATATTAGCTTGAGGTACCACGTCTGCGTATTAGAATGTACCGTCGGTTGCATTTAGTAGTAGCTTGAATCGCAATAATTTGTTTCATTTTAACTTTCCAAACGAAAATATGTAACAGAAGCGGTAGTAGATAATTTACAAAATATTTGTAAAGAATATCGCTGTGAACATTTATAGCACTGGATGTATGCATGTATGTATGTATGTATGCATGTATGTATATAGTGGATAAGTCCTTAAACGTCTACACTTAAAATTAATAAAAATAGTTATAAGGATGATTGTAGGCGGAATAAAAGCGGAGTTAATTCATTATTTAAGCCGATTATTAGGACACTGAAATGAGCCAATTTCGGATTTGTTTCTTCGCTGGAATGTGTCAAGGTCATTTCCAGCTATTGC